CTTCACGCTACAAGCCAGTAGGAATGGTCTTTCATTGGTCTCATCCCCCAACATATCACCTACATCAATACAGTGGCCAGCACTGGTCTCTTATAATGATATACTCGTCATGATATAGCACTTTAGTTACTGGTATTGCAGTAGTTCCCATGAATGCGACCTCAGGAACATACGGGTACGGCGACAAACTCATATAATTGAAACTGTTTCGACGCCCTAAAAATTAAGCAATCGCCTTCAGATTTCAGAACGATTCTGTCTGGGTTTTAGGCCTGTTCCCGCAGTAATGGTTCGTCGCTCCTGCAGTTCCCCACAACCTGACTGTCAAGCATCCCTTCCAGGTGGCGGAATTAAAGGCTGTTTCTTAACAATTTCGCTTGTGACTGCAAAGGCAAGATCGGCATCTTGTCGTTTTCCCTTGATGCAGCTACATACTGCGTTAAAGAGTTCTTTTGGGAAACTGGTCCGGATTTGGCGATGATGCCATTTTCATATTTCACCATTTCGGTGGCAAATGGACGTCCTCATTTCTGACTGGTTGACCGCCAGGGCAAACGACTCCACTCTCCTGAAAGAGCGAGGGGTACCTGTAGTCTGTAATTATTGTGTCTCAACCGCGTTCGACAGCTACGGAAAGCTGTCGTCTGCCTCGCTGCAAACAATTTTCGCCCTACTGTAAAGAGTTCGCACGCAGCTACGTTTGTGGCACAATTGGTTCTTACTGTGGTAAATTAGGTCCCGGCGTGTGTTGATGGCTTTTCGGTATACCGTCGTCTTCAGGTTCCCGTCGGTCTTAGGGTGGATAAGGACGTCTAGGAACGCTAGTTGGTTGTTGACCTCTGCCTCCATTGTAAACTGGATGTCTAGAAAAACAGAGTTCAGGATCGCGTGAACGGTTACCGTTGCAGCTTCATAGAACGCAGCAGACAACCAAAGAAATCCTTAAGACCAACGACAGAGGAACCATAAGTGTGGCGGGCATTACCGTGTATAGAGAAGGTATCCGAAGCAGTCGCTAGTCTTCTCCAACCCCTTTGGATCGGCGTCGCCCACAGACCTGAGGCGACAATAAGACGTCTGGTCACGAGATCCAAGGCCCCTCTGTCGCGAGGCACAACGGCGAATGTCGTCTACCGTGTCCAGTGTAGTTTCTGTGAGGCGAACTACGTTTAAGTGACCGGAAAACGGTTACTGACCCGTATGGGCGAACACGCAAGGGTAGTGAGGATGGACCAGCTATCGTTGGTGGTAGAACACTATGCTGCCTATCGACACACGTTCGCCTTCTAGAACGCCGAAATCCTAGGCAGAGGTATTGACCAAACAATCAAGGAAACGCTCGAAGCTTGGTACACCGTACTAACTTCCATCAACCTATACACGATTCTTCCGGCAGCTTACCAGGCCTTACGAGTGAGGCTAAATAAACGGAATCCAAGGCAGGAAGTCAGGAACAGAGACGCAAGTGAACACAATTCACGCCCAAACGCCGATGACGCGGGTCACAAGCCCGATAAAAAAGGAGACACCGGCAACGGCTCAGCGACCACTGAGGTGACGCACACGGGGCACGAATACGAGTCACGCACAGCAATGCGGGCAATTTAGACGAGGTCAATGATCGCTGCCATCCCGACACCGCTCCCCGACGAGGAGAGGGAGAAAGGCGCCAACCAGCATGAAAGAGATTAAATCCCTCTCCCCTAGTGCATCCTGTACGGACAGTAGTAGGAATGACAGCACGCCGGCATGCTGAGCACCCATAAATACTGTGACGCGCCGTACAGGACCTACCTACGACGAAACGTCAGACCATTAAGCCTATGGTTTCCGTGATCGTCTCTCCTTCTCGTGTATATATACATATTATATTTCGAAGAAAAATGAGCCCTTTGGGAAAATGAACAAACTTTATTTCGTAAATTTCCGAGTCTGGTTCCCCAGTCGTCGTCAGACGTGTAGTAAGTGTGAAGAAACAGTTACAATTTAAACATGCCAAAAAAATCGATATTGCTTTGTCAGGGCTGAAGATGGGTCAATGCTGTGGGCTGATGTCACGTCTTGATTGGCTATTACCTTTTCCACTTTTCTTTGAGATTTGTGCACATGGCGTCAAGATCGATGCGCCGATTGATGCATGAATCATCAGAGCGAATGGCCTCTATGAATTCTCGGCCTTTCTTATGTGGGCAGGAACCCGTAATGCGTGTTTATCCCAAGCGAATTTGTGCCCAGTTTCAAAAATATGCATAGTGACTTGGGATAAGTGGTCCCGCCTCTTTACTGCCAATGGGTGTTTATGTAGGCGTGTAGAGGCGGATTTTCCGGTTTGACCACAATATGCCGCGTTACATGGAGTCTTATAGACTACTTTTTATCCAAATGGCCAACCCTTGGGTAAATTTTCGACATCAGTTCCCTGTGTCGTCGTCAGACTCGAGTAAATGTGTAGAGAACAATTATCAGTTCAAACGGGCTACAAAATCAACAATCACTTGGTGCTTCAGCTAGTAAGCGGTCGTCGTGTGCGCCAGTCCGTGTTGATCGGCTTTCGTCTCTTCCACTTTCCCCTGAGATTTATGTACGTGGCATCTAATTCGATATGCCTGTTGATGCATGACTCATCGGAGTGCATGGCTTGAAGCCATGTAGAAACGGTCGGTGAGAGCCCCACTACCACTATATATATATATATGTTGTAGATCAGAGGTGTTATGCATTCCGAGTCGATATAATGAAAACGGGAAGAGGTTCTTCGGAAAAATCGAGTTGTACTCGTGAATTTTCGAGCTGGTGACACCAACTCGTCGTCAGACGAAATGAAAACAGGGGAGAAAGTTTGTTTGTCACACTGGACTAATTAGCGCGACAGGGCAGACAGACTATCGGCCTATGAGAGGGATGATCACAAAGTCATGGTAGGTCTCTGAGCGAGGGGAGAGGTGGAACAATTATGGATGCCTGTGATGGAGGGGGAGGGTGTAATGGTGGATCAATTGGACTCCAGGTGGCTAAATTGGCGGCCGTTGCTGTGGCATTAGGGCGGGGGGCAGTAAGTCGTGAGCGTAGGCCCTCATAATGGGCGTCCAGGTCAACATGGCGGTTGATACTACCAGCATCGGAGTACCAAGCCTCGAGAAATTCTCTCGCCCGTTTTGTGTTAGCCATGGCGACGACCTCAGTGCCATCCCAATTGAATCGGTGGTCGCACTCGAGTGCGTGAGCAAAGACGAGGGACAGAGGGTCTCGCCGACGGACAGCCAGTTTGTGTTCATTAATACGGGTGCCCAGGCTTCGACCTGTATGACCAACATACACGCAAGAGCAATTTGAGCACGGGATGCGATAAATTACGTTTGTTTGTTGCTCTTTGGGGAGGGGATCCTTGATTCGAGATAGCGCCGCGCGTAGTGAGGATGCTGGTTTGTGGGCGATGCGAATACCAGAGCGATTTAACTGTCGGGCGATTACTTCGGACGCTCCTTGCATATAAGGCAGGGAGAAGAATTGTCGAGACACAGCTTCTCCGTTGAGGGTGGGAGCCTGCGGTTGTGCCTGGTGTCTGAGGCAGTTCTTTACGAAACTTGTCGGATATCCGTTGGATCGAAACAACCGATACAAGTAGGCAAGCTCTTTCTTAAGGAGATCGTCGCTGTTGCAATAACGATAGGCCCGGTGGAACAGAGTTCGAACGCAGCTCCTTTTGTGAGCTGCGGGGTGGTTGCTTCCATAATTGAGGATAATTTCGGAATTAGATCCTTTCCTATGGACGCTCGTCGCGAGACTACCATCGTTCAGCCTTTGTATTTTCACATCAAGAAACGGCAGGCTGTCGCCTATTGCCTCTTCACGAGTAAACTGTATGGCCGGAAAGACGTCATTCAGCCTCTGATGCAGCCGTTCACTTTCGCAGTTCTTTATCACGACAAATGTATCGTCTACATAGCGAAGCCACACTTTGGGGCTGAGATCTTGGAAAACCTCCTTTTCTAGTCTCTGCAATGCAAGTTCTGCGAGCAGTCCAGATATTGGCGAGCCCATTGGGGTTCCCTTTACCTGTTGGTAGAACTTATTATTGAATTGACAGTAGTTTCTAAGGCAGAGTTTGAGCAGTTCTATAATATGCTGAGTTGGAATCTCAATAGATTTCTCCTGTAAGCGTTGGGCTACGCAGTCAATTGCCAAATCGTGTGGTATGGAAGAAAATAAGGCAACGACGTCAAAGGACAGGAGGCATTCATCGGCACTTACTTCGAGTCCTTGGATCCTTTGGAGGAACGCGAGAGAATTGTTGATGCTGTAGTCAGATCCATGGGTTAACTGCTTCAGGTGCTTGTACAACCACTTAGCTATATTGTACGTAGGTGATCCGATGAGTGGTACAATAATCCTCAGTGGGGCGTCCACTTTATGCACTTTTGGGAGACCATACGCGCGTGCGATATGGGGATCACCGAGGGTCATCAGCTTGGAATCATCTGGACTTATAACTTTCAGACGAGTGAGCTCATTAACCTTTTTCTTGATGGCAGCGGCTTGCTTTTTCGTCGGGTCTTCGGCAAGAAGAGTGTAGGACGCTACGTCACTGAAGATTCCATTCGCTTTGTTGACGTATTCAATTCTGTCCATGACGACAGTAGCACCACCCTTGTCAGCGGGAACAACAACAATATTGTGGTCCGATCTCAGTGATTGTAATCCTTGTGCTTCATCGGCCGGTAGGGTTTGTTGGCGTCTTTTTTGCCGAAGGATACCAGTGGCACAGCTGCGTATGTCTGCGCGCCTGTCTTCTGGAAGGGCTGAGGCCAGTAGAACTGACTCGAGGCCAGCTAGGAAGTTGGTAGGCGTGGCATCCGTATGATTAAATCCTATTCCCTTGGACAGGAGGCTGATTTCGGCAGGTGAGAGAATCCTCTTCGAAAGGTTGACGACTCTCGTGGTCATACTCCTCTCGTTCGTATTGTATATATATATATATATATATATATATATATATATTTGAAGGAAAACGTTTTATACCGTACTCCCGACATAGGTGCTACATAGGTATACATGCATCCGCGCGTTTATCAGGGCTTTCTCACTTTTCGTAGGTTTTTCTTGATTTATTCAGTCATCAGACTTCCCTACAGATTTTAACTTAATCCTCAACGAATGAACGTTGTCATGTGCTGCAATAATAAAATATCAAAAAAACTGTTAGCCAACCCATCTTCCTCTGTTTAATGCATTAGGGAACATTTAATATCGAAAAACGTCCCGAGGAGTTCCATTTGTGACTCGCTAAGCTCGGTTGGTACATAACCCAGAGGCGCGATCACTGCCAAATGGCCATTGGAAGCAGTGGAAAGTCACCAATTTACTGTCAGATGAGAACGCTTTGATTGCATGAAAAACGACGTAATAGGGCAATGACATGGTTTAGTGGCGCAGGAATTGGGCCGGAAATGAGCTGGCGGAAAATTCTCAGGAGAAAGAGCGCGGGAAGGCACCTGAATGGATCAAAATCCGAATAAATCACCCAGACTGGAGGCGCGGTTGCCCGAGAAAAGAACGTTCAAACAAAGCAGAGAAGTAACACGAAAAAAAAACAGTACAGAGGGACTCGTGTCAACGTTAGAGAGGCTCCGTTGTGAGCGAAGAACGGGACGCAGAGCGACGCAGAGCAGTGGGTCAGAAGACTAAAGACAAGTTTGACAGTGGAGCGGAAGAAAATAGTGTCAGGCCACTTTATCTGATATCAGAAATGGCAGCCCGTTATCCAAGGGTCGGTGGATGCAAGAATTAGAAACGAGCAAGAACACATGATCACCGACTGCGACATTTCCACATCTCTGCTGACGAAACTCGAAGAACTCAAGGCAAGGGGTTGATTAGCTGGGGTAGAATACTGACAAAAATACATTTGAGATGGAGGAAATTTCGGTTAGAATGTCACTGGTGAATATGCTCTCTTATTTTGCCGCGTGTTCAGTCAGTCAGGCGTTTCAGACAGAAATAGGTGTATTTGAAGCAGTCAGGGCCTTTCCCGGATATGGTATTTTTTCGTTATAAAAACACAAGAACGGAAAAATCCGGTTATGGAGACTGGAAATGAATTATCGTCGTATTTTGACGATTTTAGCAGGGTAGACTATGTCGTCAAATTACACATCGATGCAGCCACAATGAGGACAATTCGCGAAAAAATAATTGACTATCAAAGCGCATATGGAAAGACCGGCTCGGCGGCTCAAAGCGACTTTAAATGCGCGGATGACTGATCCACTTGGCATGAAACATACGACTTATTTGTACTTTTACTATCCGAGGTCATGGTCTAATTGTCTTGTTTCCTACGGGGTCATGGGCAGTCATATTATTAAAATGAGAGTTAATTACCTACGAGGTCAGGAGTAAGGTTCCTGTCCCGAAATTTTCCAAAAGGGAATCCAACTGCCTCTCTCCTTTGGGCTCGTTTACGCTTGCTACATTTACCGGTCCTCATGTCTTTTTAAATTGGACAAGGGATGCCGCTAAAACTACGGGTTGTCTGGTGGTTTTTGTTACTCTTGGGCAGGAAACAGGTGCTGTTGCGGGTGGCAGCAGACCAGGCGAGTGGTGAACAGGTGGAACAAGCTCAGGAACATAGTTACGGTGGACAGTGAAAGGGTGCAGGTGAGCAGCGTGTGATAACCAAGGTTTTACGGCTTCCACATGGAACACTTCATCTGATGCAGTCCAGGCTGGAGCGAAGGATGTCGCACGGGTAGGTGTGGTTTTGTGTAGGCTGTGGCCAGGTAACATGTGATGGGGTGTATCGACACGCAGGCCCATGCAATGAGAGCTCAGATACGTGTCGTTGGTACTCTTAGGTGTAGATTTTTGCCCTGTCAACAACCTACGTCCTCTCCTACCTCCAACTTTCTTGACTGTCATGACACCAGGGCCAGGTAGGAGAGGAGGACTGGGTGCGGTAGATGCAGCCTAAGTCTACTATCACTGTGAACTAATCCACTCGCAAGTCACTGCGCTTGCTTGCTGCCTGCTGTGAAACACACGATGGACATCGTCAAAATCGACAGTCGAGCCGTCATCCTTACTGGAAGGAGTTACTCAACCGAGAGGGTCTAACTAGGTAGTGGTGGATTAAATACAAACGGGGCTAGCAGAGACATTCCGGTCTGCTCCGAAGCCCTATCAGAGGGGCGCAGTTTCGATTTATTAAGTTAGGATAGGATAAGGGAATGGATTAACAAGCAAGAGTCGTCACTCAGTTCTACCTGAAAACATATATATATATATATATATATATATATATATATGAGATGGTACCGACAAAGACAAGGGAGACCGGAATGGCCATTTCTGGCTTATTAGCCGTCATCAGCCAGTCATACCCAACCCCAAGTGTGGATCACTTAAGATTCGAACCCGGGACCTTTGGCCATGGAGTTTGACGCTCTACAATTGAGCCACGGGCCCGTTGTCCACACTTGGGGTTGGGTATGACTGGCTGATGACAGCTAATAAGCCAGAAATGGCCATTCCGGTCTTCCTTGTCTTTCTCGGCTCCATCTCATCTTTGTCTACTACTAGTCGCTGTGCGACTGCCTGCGAGGGTTCTAGTATGAGCCCCAAGGCACAACGGAACGAGCATGTTCCGTAACCCGATCGGCGAGCGCCCACTATCATAATATATATATATATATATATATATATATATATCGATCGGAAACAAGAGGGTGGGGGCACGCTACATAATTAGCAGATTATACCATGACGGATGTCGAGGTTCAAATATAAGGCTCAGAAAGTTACGCATTCTATGCGTTTTCTGAATTAAAGTGGTTGCTGGGCTTGCAGATTTTGATAATCATCTACAGACAAGGGGCTATAACAGGCGGGTCACACACT